GTTAGGTACAAGCAGCGTGCCCATCAGCAGAGGGTTGGGTGGATAGTGCAAGGTCCCTTCTGAAGATGGACTACTGTGCAGCAGTGAAAGGGTTGGTATATGTGCAAGTGACACATATAAAAGCAAGAGCTGGGCCCACTCGGAGCCTGTGCTGCCAGGCGGAAGCCCTGCGCGCCACACACGTGACTTATGATGGTCGAGGCCTTGGAATAAAAGGTGCTATTTCCTCCCCTCAGGTTGGCCTCTCTCCCTGGCTATGATCATGGATTGGCAGACTCGATATTGGTGTGTTAGTCACCCAGGAAACAGAACCCATAAGATGTGTATTTATAGAAAGAGGTTGTGGGGACTGCAGAGTCTGAAATCCACAGGGCAAGCCCGCAGGCTGAAAATTCCAGCAAGAGTCCATGTTGCAGTCAGAAGACAATCTGAGGTAGAATTCCTTCCTCCTCATGGGACCTCAAGTCTTTTCTCTTCAACTGACTGGATGAGGCCCACCCATGTCATGGAGGGGGATGTTATTCAAAGTCAACTGTTTTACATGTTAATCACATCTAAAAATGCCTTCAAAGCAACATCTAGACTGACATTTGACCAAACAGCTGGGCACCATAGTCTAGTCAAGTTGACACAGAAAATTAACCATCGCAATCAGTACCTTGTCAGTTCATTTCAAACTGATCTGTAGATTCCTTGTAATCCCAATGAAAATCCACGACTTCAAAAAAAATCCAAGGCTTTTTTTAAAAAAAAAAACAACAACACACAATTGACAGGCTGATTCCAAAATTCATATGGAAGTGCAAAGACCTAGAATAGTCAAAACAACTTTGAAAAAGATCAAAGTTGAAGGATTCACACTACCTAATTTCAAGACTTACTCAGAAAGCCATGGTGATCAAAACACTGGGTACTGCCCTGGCCAATGTGGCTCAGTTGTTTGGGCATCACCCTGTGCACCAGGAGGTTGCCGGTTTGATTCCCAGTTAAGGGCACATGCCCGGGTTTCTGGCTCAATCCCCAGTAGGGTGCATGCAGGAGGGCCTCTCACATCAATGTCTCTTCCTCTCTCTCTAAAAATCAAGAAACTATTTTTAAAAAATGTGTGGTATTAGTGAAAGGATAGATACATAGATCAATGGAATAGAATGTAGTCCAGAAATTGATTCAGACACATTGGTTAATTGATTTTCAAAAAAGGTGCAGCCCTGACCGGTTTGGCTCAGTGGATGGAGCATTGGCTTGCGGACTCAAGAGTCCCAGGCATGTGCCTTGGTTGCAGGCACATCCCCAGTGGGGAGTGTGCAGGAGGCAGCTGATCGATGTTTCTGACTCTCTATCCCTCTCCCTTCCTCTGTGGAAAATCAATAAAATACATATTTTTTTTTAAAAAAGGTGCAAAGGCAATTCAGAGGAGAAAGGCTAGTATTTTTCAACAAATGGTGCTGGAACAACTGGATCTCATATGTAAAAATCTAAACTTGTTCCATATTTTGCAACATATTTTTTAAATAGCACAAAATGGATCATAGATTGAAATGTAAAACTTAAAACTATTACACTTTTAGAAGGAAACAGAAAGAAATCTTTGTGACCTTGGGTTAGGGAAAAATTTCTTAAGCATGACACCAGAAGCATAATTCAAACAGAACAAATTGATATACTGGACTTGATAAAAATTAAGAACTTTTTAAAAAAAAAAAAATTAAGAACTTTTGCTCTTTGAAAGAAACTTAAGTCAATGCAAAGACAAGCCACAGACTGGGAGAAAATATTTACAAAGATATAGCTGAAAAAGGACTTGTACCCAGTATACTAGTATATAAAAAATTCTCAAAACTCAATAAAACCCATAAAAAATGGGCAAAAGCTTTCAACAGGCATGTCACCAAAGACACACCAAAGATGTGGATGACTAATACAAACATGGAAACATCAGTCGATAGGAAGATGCAAATTAAAACAAGATATCACTACACACTTATAAGAATGACTAAAATGTAAAAGACTGGCCATACTGAGTGTTGACAAGGATGTGGAGGTACTGGTGGTGGGAACATAAAATGACACAATTATCTTTAAAAAAAAGTTAGAAACCCAGAATGTGCCCCACCAATCCACTCCTAGGTATTTACCCAAGAGAAATACAAGCAGATGTCCATACATTTAATTTATATGAATGTTTATAGCAGCTTATTGGTAGCTGAAATCTGGAAACATGTCCCTCAACTTCTGAATTGGTAACAAATTGTGGTACAGTAAAGTCCTCACTTAGTGTCGTCAATAAGTTCTGCGACTTTAGCGAAATGGCATATAATGAAACCAGTTCATCACAGGCTAACTGATATAAACAAGAGTTAAGTTCCTGTGGCATCTCAGCGTTATAAGAAAACGACGTTGAATGAAATGACATTACTTGAGTACCTGCTGCTGTGTATCCACATAATGGAATACTCCTCGGAGTAAAAAGGAATGAACGATTAATACATGCTACAACATGAATAAATCCCAAAATAATTATGCTGAGTGAAAGAAGCCAGATAAAAAAGGACACATGTGGGAATGATTCCATTATATAAAAATCTAGGAAATGCCAACTAATGTGTAGTGACCACAGATCAGTGGTTGCCTGGGAGGGGTAAGGGGAGGTACTATGAGGGACAAAAGGAAAATTTGGGACTGAGGAATCTGTTATTTTGATTGTATTCGATTAGCGGTCAATAAAGCTGTTTTAGAGGTTTAAAAAAAAAGAGGTTAAAAATGCAAGGTAAGGACAGTATGATATCTAAATAAAATGTTTAAGCCGTACAGAAAAAATGCTGAATGTTGTCCATGTATCCGTAAGTGTGTATGTAATCATTGTTTTTAAAGAATGACAGGAGCCCTGGCCGGTGTGGCTCAGGTGGCTGAGTGTTGTCCCGTGCACCAAAGGGTTGCCGGTTCTATTCCCAGTCAGGGCATGTACCTGGGTTGCAGGTTTGATCCCTGGTCGGGGTGCACATGGGAAGCAACTTATCGGTTTCTCTCTCATATCAATGTTTCTTTCTCTCCCCCTACCTCTCTCTAAAATCAATAATAACACATTTTAAAAAGAATTTAAAAAATAAGAATGACAAGGATATGGACAGTGGATTATACCTTTGGGCAGAAGGGGGAGAGAGATGATTACAAGAGATGCTAGATTGTGTTTTATTGCCTTTTAAACAAAGACCCCTGGGAAGAGATCCAAGACACTGGTTGGAAGACTTTGGGGTCCCGGTGGAAGATACAGTACCCTCCTCAGAAGATGCTTTTGCCCAAACTGTTTGCTGCCACCCAGGGCTGATGGGAACTTAAGGTGATGTTCACGGGCACCAAGGGAGCCCAAGGAACCATCTCTCACGCGTCTGACACGCGTGGCCCGATCTCATTTCATCTTCATATCTGGGGAGCCAGTGACCTTTCCAAATACAAGTCAGGCCTATGTTCCTCTCCTTGGGCCACCCCCTCCCCACAGTTCCCCATCACAGAGTATAAAATGCAGACACCTCACCAAGGACCCTACAAGTAGCCTGCCTCTCCTCCAGCCACTGTTCCTCTAACATACCAAGCACCATCCTGCCCCAGGACCTTTGCATGGACTGTGCCCTCTGTCAGGACCAATAACCCGGATTTCCACACAGCTTAATCCTTCTTGCCATTCTGATTTCTCTCAAAATCACCTCCTCAGGGAGCCATCACTGTCCACCCCCCACTATTTTTACCTGATTCCCCAGTGGACCACAGGCCCCAGGGTGGCGGGGACAGGGACTCTTATTCTCGCCATGCAGCAGGGGGGTTAATATTGGTTGACTTCACAGCTGAATGAGACAATCTGTAGTGACATGATCAGTGGCCACCTGGGAACAAGGGCACAGGGAGAGATTGCAGAAGGGAGCAGGGAAATGTTCACCTCAGTGTGGTGACGGCTCCAGTGCAACCAGGGGAGCCATGGGCAGTGACAGCTGGTCCCGGGCTAACCCCCGAACCTGTCTCCAAGGCCTCCGTTTCTCTAACTCTTCAGTGAGCTGACAGCAGCCCCGCCTTGGCTCACTTCTTTCCTATAACATTTCTAGAGTGCCCTTCTCACTGCATTCCTGTTATGTCTGCAGAGAGCTATTTAAAGAGTGTGCCCTTCTATCTGCATTCCTGTTATGTCTGCAGAGAGCTATTTAAAGAGAAATACTTAAAAATTGAGTCCTATTTTCAAAACGAGATGGCATGTACTTATGTTCACATACACCCACATACACTGGGAAACAGGATGAAAACACACGAGCATGAGGGCAGCCATCTTTGCCAGCCGGGGCTATTGGTGGTTTTCGTTTTCTTGGTTACAATCAGTGGAACTTTTTGTGTAAAAAAAGGAAACATCAGCTTATGTTATTATGAGGAGGTAATGGGCTGGCCTTTCCTCTGAAATGTGGGGGTTTTTACTGGAGTTCATGATGAGGCCAAAGCTACCTTCCAGCCTTTGCCGGGGGACGGCAGGGGAGAGGAGAGATGGCCCATCCCTCTTCGCCCATGCCTGGAGCAACCACACCCCATAAACCCGGAGTGAGCTGCACCAGTATCCCAGAGGCTGTGCCCAGGCCAGGACGCTCCCAGGGGCTGGGGATGGGCCTGGCCGGTGGGAGGGGCCTCCACACAGCCTGGTGCCCCCACCCCCATATTAGGTTGAATGCTGTCCCCTCAAATTCATAACCCCTGGGAACCTCAAAAAGAAAAGTTATTTGGAAAGAGGGCCTTTGCAGACGTAGTTAGTTGAGATGAGGTTGTCCTAGAATAGAGTGGGCCCTGAATCCAATAACCAGTACCCATATTAGAGACACACATACAGAGAAGACTCAATATGAAGGTGGAGGCAGACTGGAGCCATAGTCCACAATCCAAGGAATGCCAGAAGCTGGGAGAGCCCAGGACAGAACCCCTCACAGCCTCAGAATCAGCCTGCCCACACCCCCAGACAGGACATTCGAGGCTGAATGTTCGATATGGCTTTATTTTCTGATCATCCGACTGCGTCCCACATCCAGCCTGAGCTCTGAACAGCCAGTGGCCTGAGCCACCCTGGGGAGGGAGGGCACTAGCTGGGCAATCCCAGATGGTGCACCCACCAGTCACATGTGGGGAAAGATGAGTTTCCCTCCTCCCACCCCATACAACTTCCCATCTTGTGGCATGAGCCCCCAGAGGTGGTCAAGCATTTGGTGAAGTCTTTGGGGCAGTGGGTCCTCCGGGCAGGGTGGCCCCCACGCTGACCTCTCCCGAGACCTGGCTTAGCCAACAGCCGGGGCCCGGAAGGCTGAGGACAGGACAGCCGCAAGTGCCCAGGGACTGCTTTGGCAAAGGTGGGAGACTGAGGTGGAGGCAGACAAGAGCCCCCAGAAGAGCCCAGTCAGTCCCTCCTGCTGGCGGGCTTTGGGGAAGGGGCAACAGCAGGCTGGGTGGGGGATGGGAGCGCCGTCCTCTTGCCCCTTTACACCACTTCAGACCTCCATGGCGAGCCTGGAGGCCCTCCTTCCCGGTCATGACCCTCCCCTTAGCATTTAACACTTGCTTGATTATATTGCTCATGAATTGGTACACCTGCATCTCCCTGAGGTCCATCGTGCTGGAAGCCTTCTCTCCACCGAGAGAAGCTCACGCCCATGAGGCACCTGGTTTGTGGAGTGCGGGCTCGGTTGAGGCTCGCAGAGCCCACACCTTCCCACTCTGGATCCCACCGACGCATCTTCTCCAGCAAACACTCTGCCTCTACGCCCCCACCAGGCCCCAACATGGATTTCACTCCCCCAGGACACATCACACCCTCCGTTTCAGATGAGGAAATGGCTCAGTTGGGCTAAGAAGTGAGTTCGCAGAGGGGCCAGAGCCTCCAGCCCAGGGCCCCTCCTCTAGGGCCTCCGTGAGCACTGCCTCTGGAGCCTGGGGCCTCCAAAGGCACCCGGTTTCCCTTTGGGAGCCAGGGGTTGGGAGCCCAGGAGCCAACAGAGAAGACGCCTGGGGAGATGCTGGCATTCCCTAGGGCGCAGTGAAAGGGAGCAGAGGCCAGAGAAGCCCCAGTGATGGGAACAACGCAGGGGCCCTGCAGGAGGGCAATGGAGTGGGGGGGGGGGGGCTCCAGGTCTCCAGGGCACCAACGGCCCAATGGGGCTTCTGGGAGACATGTGCCTCAGCCCTGGCTCCAGGGAGGAGACATAACCTTCCAAGGCTGAGCTACAAGCTGGGGACCCGGAGGCTGGTGCTGCCCTCTTCAGACCAACATGAAGAGAGCATCCGGGACACTGAGGGGGATGGAGACGGCGTGGAGGACAAATGCAGAGCCAGTGCCAGCCATGGTCGGCATCACGAGCAGGAGTGACCCCAAGGCTGTGCCGGACACATTTCCTTTCACAGCACGGCTCAGCGCCTGAGGGCCGAAGGGCCATCTCCCGGGCCAGAGGCTCAGCCACCGCTTGTTCCCAAGTCCGTGGTCTGGCCCCAGAACTCTACCAAATGCTCCTCCAAGGGAGTTCGAAGGACAAACAAGAGAAAGAACCCCCTAAATCCTCAAGAGCAACACAGAAAAGCTCTGTAATTCGGGGTTTCGGTGAGCCCCTGCAGGCCAAGGGTGGTGGTGAGGGCGGCAGGCAGGGGCCCATGGTGCTGGCAGGGCCTCGTCACTGTGTCTTGGCCTTCAGGAGTAGTCTCTGAACTGTTTTGTACAGGAGGTCGAAGTGCTGGAGGCAGTGGGAGGGCGCAAGTGAGGTCAGGAGTGAGGGCAGGGACAAATCCCACCAAGGAAGGCCCAGAGACTGTGGATCACATGCTTCTAGGCAGGACGGGGGCGAGAACTCACCTGGTCAGGTCACCCTCCCACCCGAGCCCTGTGAGCTCACCTGGACCGCTGTATAGGCCATGCCGAGGTAGGCGCCGATGCAGACTGCCAGGAGCAGGTCGAAAATGGCTGGTTTGACCCTGGAGGGAGAGGAGTCAGAGGTCAAGAGAGGGGGTGAAACTGGCCACTCCCTGGCTGTCCTGTGGACCACAGTCCCCTGGATGGTAACCCAGGGGGACAAGGGCTCCTGGTCCAGAGCAGCTCACCTGTAGGCATTCATCACCTGCTTCAGCTGGTCGTAGAAGACAAACTCGGGGTCCCTGGGAGAGAGTGGGTTCTCAGTGGACTCGCCCCGACAGCCGGGCCCCCAGAGAGCAGACCACCCAGAGGTCCCACAAGCCCAGGGACATGGAGGGAGCACCCTATGTGTGTGTCTCCTCGAGGCTGCCACTATTCCTCCTGGGAAAGGACAATCCTTTATTCCGAAATACCATCTTTCCTATTGCTTTTTTGGTGCTGAAACAATCTTTAAGAATGGAACACGGGGACCGTAGAAACTTGACTGGTCTCGGAAGTACTTCTATAGAGGGTGGGTGACCATGGCCCGAGAATCAGGACCCTGGCTTCGGCGGTGGAGCCACTTTGAGCCTCAGTTTCTTCTAAGCGCTCTGCTTCCGGGAGTGCCATGACTCGGACGGAAGGTGGAGGCCAGCAAGGGCAATGAGCAGTCTGGGGACATCTGCCCATGGACACCCACAGGTGTCTCTCCTATCACAGCCCCTGAGGTGCCTGCTCAGTTCAGCTTGGGAGCCTTGAGCAGAAAAAAGATAAAACTCAGGGGGCCCACGGTGAGGAGGAGCACCCGAAGGGCAGACAGGGACCGGGGTACAAGCCACCTGCGGCCTAGAGCACGAAAGGACCAGAGGGCGGGTGGAGGTTAGGGCTGCCAGACAAAACACAGGAGATCAGTTCTCTGCGGATTCAGATAAATAGGGAACAGGCTTTTAGGATAAGTACAAGCATTTCATGGGACATACTTACACTAAAAAACAATTTGCTGTTTTATCTGGAACTCAAAGTTAACTAGTACCCAGTACTTTTTTACTTATCATTTAACTTTTCATCCGGTATTTTATTTATTTGCTCACTCTGGCACTGGGGGCGATATAGAAAACTCTAGAAGAGCATGCTCACTGGCCAGCCACACTTCATGAGCCTGTGACAGGGTGGGGGCCGTCTGCGCCTCACCGTTTGTCAGCCTTGATGTGGTGCTGCTTCACCTCCTTCAGGTAGCGGCTCAGGTAGTGCTCCAGCGTGTTGAGGAACGTGCCATCTTTGTCCACCAACTGGGCAGCCCGGGGCTGGTTGGTGAGCCAGTCCATCACCGAGTCCAGCTGTTCCTGCTGGATCTGCTGCGAGGAACATGTCCATGGTCAAGGGACCCCTTCCTACCACTGCCCCAGGACCCTGCCCACCCAGCCCAGCGGTTACCATCTGCTCTGTGAAGACAGGCATGTCCGGGGGCGTCCCCTGCAAAGAGAGGAAGGACAGGCTCTCAGTCCCGACCCACCTGGTGCACTGGGATGGAGGGCTTGCAGCCACCGGTGGGGTCTCACCTTCTCAGTCAGGTTGTAGATGACTCGAGTCAGGGCCTCTGCGATGAGCCTTGTGTTGCGGGTCAGGGTTTTAGAGTCAACCCGGGACCTTCAGGGCGGATTTGGGAAAAAAATCTATTTACATTTGGAATCAGCATCATTTACAATCACCAAAAATCAAGAGCAACCATATATCTAATGATAATATAAATAAGAAAAGGCACAGCCTCCTTGGGCAGGGCGGGCACCTCTCCACACCTCAGATTCTGCTTTAAAATTTAGGGGGACCCTGCCCTCCTCGAAAGGCTGCCCAGCACCCATGGGGGTTATCTGCAGGTACAGAGAAGCTAGCCTGGCTCCCTGTGTCTGCCTGAAATGACTGGACCCTTCTGAGCCTCAGTTTCCTCATCTAAGTGGGAGGCCTGGGGGCCGCACTCACCGCACGTCCATAATGCTGCTGCGCTGGCCATCACGGTGGCTCTCCAGGTGGGACAGGGTGAAGGCAGGCAGCCGGCGGATGGCGAAGCGCTCGTGCTCCCAGGCCAGGATGTCCTCTGCCAGGTTGATCTTCTTGTGCACCATCGAGAAGCGCACCTCCGGGAACTGGTGAGCAGCCACCTGTGTGGGAGGGCGTAGTCAGGGAGTCCGCCCACTGCCCTGGGGTCCCGGCCACACCCAACAAGTCTGCAGAGGAACATCTCGCACTGAGTTCTTTCTACCAATGTTCACAGGATCCTGAGGGCCAAGAGGGTCCCATGTCCCTCCCCAAACCTTCCCCATTTAGAAACGGGGAAAAACCCACTTGCCTCCCAGGAAGCCAACGGAGGCCTCACTCAAGGTCCCAGGGTTTGCAAAGTGCCTGGTCTGATGCCGGCTGGTGGTGGACACTAGCTAACAAGGGACAGTAGGGCAGTTATCCCAGCCTGGCCCCGAGTCCCTTATGATATGCTGCTGCCCTTGTCAGGGCCTCCGGGGGCCTGTCTGTGAAATGGGCACGTGCCCAGCATGGGGTCAAGCTGCTGCCTGGAGGGCTCCTTCGTCACCAGGGGCACCTACCATCTCCAGCTCCCGCAGGAAGGCGTGCTGCAGCGTCCCCTCCCTGGGCGGCTTGGACACGTGCAGGTGCAGGCTATTCCCCCGGCCCACGGTGTCCAGGCAGAGGACGAAAGCCACATTGTCCTGGAGCAGGCTGGAATCTGTGGAAACAGGAGGAGCTGACCGGGGTCGGGGGGGAGCCAAGGGCCCCTGACCACATAACCTGGGAAAGCTGGGGGCCACTAACCTGTGTGGTCCAGGTTGTCTTCTAACCAGCGCTTGGTCCCCTGGTAGTTAAATTTGCCCCCTCCAGACGCGAAGAACAGGAGATTATACCTGATGGGGAGAGCAGAGGTGTCAGCTTTGGCAGATGCGTGTCCAAGTCCTCAACAAGGAGGAGATGGTCTCCCCCAAGTGCAAAATCCTGACCAGCCCTTAGGGCAGGGCTTCCCCATTGCCCACTTCTGGCATCAGCACCGGGTCGTCCCCGTGTGGGGCCATCCCTGGCACCCTGGTGTACTGAGCCGCTTCCATCCACTCGATGCCGGGAGCATGCCCAGTTGTGACAACCACAGATGTCCTCAGACACAGTCCAGTATCCCCTAGGGCAGAGTCACCATGGGTGGGAACCGCTGTTCCAGAGGCTTCTCTGAGCTCTCAAAACCAGGCGACAACCTGGTTTCAACCGCCGAGGAAATAGACCAGAAAGAAAAGGTGAAAGGAATCCAGCACTGCTTTTCCTGAAGCAGGACTGAAGCCAGGCTGTCACCAAAGACCATATCCCGGGCCTCCCTCATCCTCCACCGCACCCATCCCACCGGGGCCACAGCAGTCCTTACAGGAGAGAAAAGACAGAAAGAGAGAGGACATGTGAGGAAGGAGACAGAGACTGGAGTTACGCAGCCACAGCCTAGAAATTCTGAGGACTGCAGGTCGCTCCCAGGAGTTGGGGAAGGCAGGAAGGACCCTGCCCCGGAGCCTTAGTGGGGAGCATGGCCTGTGACAAGTTGATCTAGGCCTCTGGCCTCCTGAACTGGGAGCATAAATGTTTGCTATTTCAGCTTCTGTGTGTGGTGCTTGGTGACAACAGTTCTAGGAGACTGACACTCTCGCTGGGCCCCTTTCTGCCCCAGGGCAGCGTGGTGTGTGGGTGAATAAACCAAGAACAACCCAACCCAGTGTCCACAGTGCCAAGAGCAGGAAACTAGTTTAAGTGACTATTTTTAGAGTGTTTCTATTGTTACTTGCAGCTGAAAGCATCCCCAACACTTGCCGGGACTAACAGCAGCCGGGCCTCCTGGGCAGGATTCCAGGGGATGAATGTGGGAGGGGCCTGGCCTATGGTAGCCCTCAATAGAGACACTGTTATTCCTGGGGTTGGAACTGCACCTGGGCCACAAGGCGTAACCAGTGTGGCCCAATCAGCACATGGCCCCACCTGGCCCTCAGCCCCTCCCTCCCGGCCATCACTTACGCAGCATGGGTGCGCTTGTAGGTGTATAGCCTGGAGAAGAGGCGGGCGAGCTCCAGCAGCACGGAGATGCCACTCCCGTTGGAGTCCGCGCCATGTGACAGCCACTGTGGACAAGGAAGACAAGACCAGCCGTCACCCCCCACCAGCCACACATGGCTCCTCATTACCCTCCTCCCACAGCACTCTGCCCGCGCAGTCTTGTCCCCAGTCCACATTTAGAGCAGACCTGGGATGGCTACCCTCCTCTGCTTAGAACCCCAGACTGACAGCACCTCAATGTCTTCGAGGATGAGCGCCTGAACACTTGACACTATTCTGCGTCTCCTTGCCCACTGCAACTTGCCCTGTGCCGGGCAAGGAGCTATGCTACCAGGGCTGCCTCCACCCAGCAGCCTCAGCATGTGCACTCGGACCCTCATTCCCTTAACTATGGGGGGAGCTGGTGCAGGTTCTCCCCCCTGCCAGCCCACCAGCCCTCTGCACCTTCCCTCAACTCATCTGGGTTCTGTGACTGAAAGCAGTACTCCAATGGGGCAATGACTATTTCCTGGGGAAAGAAAGAAATCTTGGATTCCATAATGGCTCAGGACTCTCCCCAGGTCACAGTCTATTAACCAACACATAAGTGTATCAACAGAAGTAAAATTCATGGGGAAGAAGACCATGATGCTCAGCAAGAGGAGCCAGACACCAAAGGCCACAGAGTGCGTGATTCCATTTATGTGAAATGTCCAGACTGCTAATAGGGATGGGGATGAAGGAATGTTCTGGAATTAGATAGTGGAGATGGTTATACAACCTCGTGGCTATATTAAAAACCACTGAATTGTATGCTTTAAAAGAGTGAATTTTACATTATGGGAATTATTTTTTTTTAATTTTTTTTTTTAATTTCAGAGATAGAAATTAGGACGAAAGTGTCTAAAAAGGAATAATGAACAAGTTGAGAAGCGTTCTCAGCTAACTGTTCAGAGCCTGTCTCTGGGCCCCGGCTGGTCCAGGTGTTCTCAAGGATGGCCTTGGCCTTCCAGGTGGTGTGGCCCCTGGAACAGCTGTCCCTGGTCTGTGGCACAGTCAAAGGCTCACACAAGGCTGCAGGTCCACCCACCATCAGCTCCCTGTTTGGTTCAGCTGGTTGTTCTTCCAAAGCAAGACTTTCTTGACAAAGGAAGCAGATTTACACTTTGGGCCCAATCTCGCCATGCTGGGAGCGCTGAGAGGTGGCCCAGGGATACCTGCAGCCTGCGGGAAGGGCTCAGTGCACCTCAGACTTCTCAGAGAAGCCGGCCTGCAAGGCCAGCCCTGGGCGATGTATGGAACTGGACTCTGGGGGCTCCTAACCACCCTCACTGAAGGGGGGCTCCTGGGCATAACCTGTTTGTGCCAACACGACTCATGCTGTGCACGTGCTCTCCTCCGGATTCTGGATCTCGGACTTGCCAGGCAGAGGGCCCTGTATGATCGGCCCCCAGTGAGAACCCTGGGCACTGGGTCTCTATGCGCCCCTGGGGACTGCATCTCACATGCATGGTCACTTCTTGTTTTGGGGGAGTGAGTGCTGTGGACTCTGGAAGCTGTGCCTGGTCCCCACCCCGACCTGCCCCACGCGCTTTACCCCTGGCTCAGTATGTCTCTGCACAAACATGGCCGTGAGGACACCCATCTGCTGAGCCCTGGGGTACTCTCGGTGAGTTATTGACGGAGTCTCTTGGAGACCCTGACAGACACGCCGGGCTCTATTCCAGGCCCAGCCACCTATCTGCAATGGAACCCTGTCCATGAGACCCGCCCTGGTTTCGCCTGTCTCAGCTGGAAGATGACACCCACCCTGCAGGGTCAAGAGAAGCTGAGGTAATGCCTAAAGGGCTCTCAGAGTGGGCGCTGCTCCTCTGACCACAGCTGCTGTCCACAGACAGCCGCTTCTGCGTCTGAGCTGGGCTGAGCAGTGTGGGAGGAAAGGCACCCACCTCCCCTCCTGAGGCGAGCGTATACGTACAGGAGCCACTCCAAAGGCATCGTAGTGAGCCACAATGACGATGGTGGGAAGGTCCTCTCCACCCAGGCCCGTCAGCCGTCCCTGTGGAGAAACAATCTGTGAAGCGGCCAGCCAGCTGGGGTTCTGACCACCAGAACAGTCCAGGCTGCCCCCACCCAGTAGGCCGGGGGTAGGAGAGTATTTTTAGCTTTGCTAGCTCTATGGTCTGTCATAACTTGTCAGTTGTGGGTGACCTGTGAATGAATGGGTGTGGCCAGGTGCCAATGAAACTTAATAGAATTCGGCTGAAGGCTAGACTTGGCCAAGGGTTGCAGTTTGCTGACCACAGCTCTAGCTACAGGAATCTGTGCCATCTTCTTAGTGTGCTTCTCCCCCTGGACACCAAGCCCACACTTCAAAGGCTGAGCTCCAAGCCACTGTTTTGAAGGGCAGAGCACTGTTGATAAGGAGAAATGGTGCAGTCAGGAATGGAGCCCCAAGAGCCCCAGTGCAGGTCCCAGCACTGGCTGGGGACAGTGGGAAGGAGGCCAAGCACCCCCACTTCCTCCCTGCCCCCTGCTTCCCATGTGAATAATAGGAATGGCAGAGGACTCATGGCAGCACAGACATTTTCAGAACCAAAGGCCATGGCAACCAGGCTGGCAGGTTGGAACAGAGCCTCAAATGTGAGAGGTCCCGACTGGCGTGGCTCAGTGGTTGAGCGTCAACCTGTGAACCAGGAGGTCACCTGTTCAATTCCCAGTCAGGACACATGCTCAGGTTTCAGGCTTGATCCCCAGTGTGGGTGGTGCAGCAGGCAGCCAATCAATGATTCTCTCTCGTCATTGATGTTTCTATCTCTCCCTCTCCCTTCCTCTCTGAAATCAATAAAAATATTTTTTTAAAAATGTGAAAGGGACCCACCAGACCCCCAGTGGCTCCATCAGCTGTGACTCCCTGGGAGTCGGATAACAAGGACTGTGGCCAGTGCAGGTTTTCTCTGCCCCGATCACCACCATCTCTTATGCAACTTTAAAACACGTATTCATCTGAGTATTGGATCAATTGCTCAGAGGCTGCAGCAGCCTCCCTTATGCTGGATCGGCCTGCCAGCCCTGCTAGCTGCCGTGCCTCTTCCCCCGTCTCTGCAGGAATCCAGTCCTCTCCTCACTGCCACTTCACTTGGCTCCAGGCCTCAGCCTGGACATCCCTGAGTGACCCTCTGAAATGCAAGAAGAATTCAAGGGAAATTACAGAAAGGCATGGGATTCTTGATTGACTTTGTTTTTCTGTTGATCCTCACCAGAGGATATTCCCCCCATGATTTTTAGAGAACGTGGAAGGGAGGGAGGGAGAGAACATCAATGTGAGACACACTGATTGGTTTATTCCCACATACACCTCGACCAGGGCTGGGATCTAAGGCAGACTCACTTAGTCCGGGAGGCAGAGGAGTGGCTGCACCCCAACTTTTACCAGAGTCTGCACACTGACATGGGGGCAGTGCCAAGCAGCGTGGCACCATCTGGTGTAAGTCCCTGGGAATTTGGGCCTACAGAAGCCCCATTAATACAGAAGGCAGTGCCTGGCCCAAGCAGAGGGCGGGGAGACCAGTATGCTCAGCTGCAATGGGCCTAACTGGGCAGCAGGCACCAGGGCGGGCTCTGAGGATGAGACAGTGGTCTCAGCACCCCCCATCCCAGGGGCTCGGCACAGGAACAGGGCTGGCACTCACCTCCACACTGGTGATGAGCCAGTCACTCAAGGCCTTGCTCTGGACCCCGCTGGTGACCATCTGGAAGCCATTGGCAGTGGCAGTGTGGAGCAGCACTGGGGACAGGAGCAGTGAGGGGTCAATCCAAGGGTTCCCCGACCACAGCCAGCACCCTCACCACCCCCACACCCTGGACCCTAGATGGTCAGTCTATGCAAAGCTGCATGCAGAACTGACCACACGAACTAGAATGCAAGGCGATGACTGTACATGGAAAAGAGCCTGGGTGTCCAGGATAAGAGCTGGTGAAACAGTCACCCCAACCCCAAGCAGGCAGAGTGCCCTCACTCTGCAATACCCTGGGCCTCTATTCCAAATTCACAGAGGCACGTTCACGTCCCCTGACCCAGCCTTCCAAGGACCGACTCAGCACCCATGGTCACCCTAGAGGTGACCCAGAAACAGGAGTCTCCTATCAGATGGCCCATGACCCACCAGCCCATCCCCAAAGGCCCTAATAGCCTAAGCTCCTGAAGATTTGGAACTCACTTGCTCATGACCAGACACAAGGCAGCGCCATCTTTGCTCAATGTGGATGTTTGCCACTTGCCAATTTAAATAAGCATTTTTCCATGCTGCTAAAATTCTATCCTGATGTCATTTTTAATGGCTGCATAATTTTCCACTGAGTAGAAGATTCCTTCCCTCTTCGGCTCTAACTGGAAATTTAGGTCTTTCCAAAAATTCACTCTTCTGCTGTCAATGCAGACAGATGCTATCAAGACTTTGATCTAAACCAGGGGTTGACAACCTTTTTCTATAAAGCCAGAGAGGCAGTATTTTCTGCTCTGCTCTGCCACAGCCATTCAACTGTGCTGCCGTGAAAGCCACCATAGACAATACATAAACAAATGGACACAGCAGAGCGGCAATAAAACTTTCTTTACACAGACAGACAGCTAAAAGCTGTGGTTTGTCAATCCCCAATCTAGCATCTCATGCAGCTAATCATCTGGCCAGGAGGATCAAACCTTTGTCTACAGCTTAAACACATACTGCCAGACTGCTTCCCCAGGGA